ATCAGGAATTTTGAGTCATGTAGAATCACAGAATCATAGAATAGTTAGGGTTGGAAAGAACCTTAAGATCATCTACTTCCAACCCCCTGCCATGAGCAGGGACACCTTCCATTAGACCATGTCGCCCAAGGCTCTGTCCAATCTGGCTGTGAACACTGCCAGGGATGGAGCATTCACCACTTCTCTGGGCAACCTGTGCCAGCGCCTCACCACCCTCACAGTAAAGAACTTCTTCCTTATGTCTAACCTGAACTTCCCCTGTTAAAGTTTAAACCCATTACCCCTTGCCCTGTTGCTGCAGCCCCTGATGAAAAGTCCCTCTCCAGCATCCTTGTAGGCCCCCATCAGACACTGGAAGGCTGCTATGAGGTCTCCACGCAGCTTCTCTTCTCCAGGCCGAAGAGCCCCAGCTTTCTCAGCCTGTCTCCATACAGGGGTGCTCCAGACCCTGAGCATCCTCGTGACCTCCTATGGACTTGATCCAACAGCTCCATGGCCCCCTTATGTTGAGGACACCAGAACTGCACACAGTACTTCAAGTGGGGTCTCATTTCTCATAACACTGTTCACTGGAGCCACTAGCTGTAACCTGGGGATCTGACCATCAAAAAAGCCAGGAGGAGAGACAATACAAAGACTACAGATGTTATCCAGTGACGATAAAACTTCACATCTTACCAGTGCAGGTGACATTGTCATTGGCTAGCACAGCCCCCATCTCACATTGGCAGACTGGCAGGTTGGTGTCAGGGTCCCGCTTACAGTTGTCCGAGTGGCAGTGGCTGCAGTTCAGATAGATCTGAACCTCCACCTCCCCATGACTCTCCATGGCTGAACAAGGAATGAGACACAACAGATGGGCTTAGTTCAGTTTTTCCCATCTTGTTCCAATAAGGAAAAAAACCCAACTAAAATCCAGCAGGCACAGCAGGTACCTACAACTGCTCTCCTCTGCAGGAGAGCAAATAGTCCAACACAGTGTTGACACACTGAGAAACCTGATGGGAGCTAGAAGGGAAGAAGGTATTGGGTCCCTCAAGCAAACAGAGAGGTCTTGAAGTGAATTGGCCTGGAAAGGTCTGGGACTGTGGGCATGCAGTTGAACCTGATGACTGGTGTTTCTCCTGGCATAGAGATTGAGAAGAAAAAGGTCCCAGAGCATTATAGAAATATTTAAAGAAATTACTGCAGCTAAAGATCTAACTTGCAGAGTGAAACATGCCTGAATGAAATACATAAAAAGCAAAGACTGGAGGAGAGGTAGCAGGAAAGAGGAAATAGAGAGGAAGAAGGGAAAGGAAGATGAAAATAACTAAGAAGAATAAAAAGTATATTGTACCTGCCAGGGGATGCAAGAAGATTTCTCCAATGGGGTTCACAAATGAGATACCATCCTGCCCACCAGCTGTGATATCATCAGTATTGGAGGCATGCCCCCCTGGGGAAAGAAGAGTATGGCTAGCTGGTCAGTGCTGTGTACTGCAAAAGATGTGATGCCTCTGAAGTGTTGCATTCGTTCCTGGCTCTTATCCCCTGGGGTCATTCTGCAACCTTCCAGTGATATTCATAGATATAATGTCCTTGATTGCTTGTCCTGTGTCACTTGACCCAGCCAGTACCAAGGTTAGTGAAATGACTTATTCCAATGTAGGTTTCCTCAGTTCAGCAAGGTAAAAATGTGTTTGCTTTGAACAGAAAAAACAAATGGAACATTTTCCCTGGGCAACTTGGGAATGAATGAAGGAGTAATTCAACACACCTTCCAAATACTAACTCATGTAGAAACACTTCTATAACCTTAATTTCCCCAATTAAAGACTAATGGCAGAGAGTAAAGCAGGTTTCATGCTGTTCAGCTTGAAGAATCTGTGAATCGCGTTCTGCAGCAGTGTGCCTCTGCACTAAGAGCTTTAGTCCTTCACTGCAGGTGCTCTAAGGGTACAAAATTAGACATCATGACTATTCCACCAGCAGACTTACCTCTGTAGCCTCCACCTCCTCCCCCAGAAGTACAAGCTCCTCCTCCCCCTCCAAAGCCACCTGAGGTGGCCCACTGAAGCTTGGCTAGCGCTTGGGGACAAGCTTGACCCCCTTCTCCACCTTCCAGAAGGGACTTCCCAGACTGAGGAAGCAGACTCTCATCTTGCCAGCCACCACCTCCACCTTCAGTCAGAGTGAGAAAACAAAACAAGCACAGGTTGAGGGAAGAACAAGCAGAGGAAAGTAGGAGAGATACTGTTGAGGGACAGAGAGATTGATCCTTACTGATTTCTTAAGTGCCTGCATTCAGGTTAAGTCTTTTCTTAAGGTTCAGAGAATACACAGACAAGATTCTTGTTGCCATGATAATAATAAAGTGGAAATCTAATGCACAGCCTGTGGTATGTGCTGCGTAACCAGCTCCTTAGCACCAGTTTCTGGTGGCATTAGGGAAATAAGGAGCCCATCACTCCTCTTCAGGATAACTGGTTAGGGCTTTCAACCATGCAAGATACTGAGCTCCCTGAGGAAATAAAAAACATGCTGGATTTCCTCATCTCCCTCTAGTGGCTCTTCTATAAGGCTATTACAGCACGAGATGAAGAACCACTGGATTTTTTTTGTCTCTTAGGAATGAATTCTAGGCACAGCTGTTACAACACTATAAATAAGCTTCCATTTCTGGTATAATTTCAGTAATATAATTCTTGTTGTTAGAGTTTCAGGGGAGTAACAGGGAAAAAGTCTTATCTTCAAAGACAATTGTTACAGTGTGGAGGAGTGGGCTCCATCTCCCAAACATCACTTTTACTGAGTCATTTCATAAAAGAGAGTAGGAGTCCTATAGAATAGCCTCTAATGGAGCACTCATCACCTGTCCTATGTGTTCTCTTTTATCTGGTGACAGATAAAGAGAATACAAATCAAGACAAGGGAATATAACACAACATCTGTTATAGATTACCAGCATTGTCAGAAATATGCTGGTAATATCCAGCATATTTCCAAAAGATCAGAAAGAAGCTCCTCACATAGTGCCTAATGGACAACGTGTGTATTCAGCCGCCTGGTTCAGACCTCATGTGGCTTTGGTGTCTCACCTGCAGCCCCAGTCCTCCCACTGACTCCAGGAACTGCAGTGCTGTTCTCAAATTGCTCCAGGGGTACATCATCCAGAGAGCTGTCCTGAGCCTTCAGGTAGGCTTTTCCTCCTCCTCCTGCTGCGATGAGCAAAGGTTCGAAAATCCCATCCTTCTGCTGGAAAACCCCCCATCAAACATCAGAAAAACTTCGCATCCCTTGGACATGTGAACTCACATAAACTCATCAAAAAGCATGAAAGCATCCCAAAGAAAAGTGGTCCAAGACCAGGGCAATACTACTGATTGTTTCCTAAGTTCATTACAGAAGTGTTTTACATCGTGTCCTGTGTACAAAAGTAGCTGTTTAACTAAACACCAAGATTTTAGGATTTATGTCTTTTAGGACTGCTGCCAGTATTAAAGTGGGATCCTGGTGTGATTCCCAAATCTGAGCTGTCAAGAACCAAGGAACCAGTTTGGCTAGCTTAGTGACAGTGACAAATATGATTGATGTGAAAAGACATAAAGAATTTAAATTTAAAAGACAAAAAGACAGGCAGAAGAATAGGGAGGGGAAGAGGGAAC